CGCATGACAGCTGAAAGGCATTAAATACCAGGGCAGATGTACCCTGCATATGATCGGTGTACACATATGTACTAGTTTTTTCATTGTTTGATCTTCTTGCTCAGTTACACTGCTGGCTCGTGTTAACTGATATCACCAAATGTGAGTGAATTGCTTGAAACAAGCGAGTAGTCGTCTACATTTGTGTCAATGAGTTCTTTTAAATGTTCGGCTGTGCCGATGTATTTCTTAAATACTATGTACCAATAGGGAGTTCAAAGGCGTTTGCCTATATTTCCTTTAATAAACTTGACTTGATGGAATACTGAATGACCTTCTCTGCGCGTCCTACTTACAAAACCCGGCCCCCAAACACCAGCAGTAGGATTTTACACAAGTGGGCTTGGACGGTTCACATCTGAAATGAGTGAGACTGCCAGAGCTCACGTATAGAAATACCTACATTTTAATACTTGTTTCTGAGAGGTAAAGTAGATGTGAAAATTTGTCAATCGCTTGATGTTTCTTCCCCTTATAAACTACAGTAAGCATTTATAGGAAGTATCAGGGACAATGACCGGTCAACGCAAATTTACTGAACACGAATAACTTTGTCCAAGCACCCCATTATCTTACAACGGAGTCCGAATCTGCTAACATCTCGACTCATGTGAACACTCGCTATCATAGGCGGCACAGTAGGAATGTAGTTATAGGATACAGTTACGATGAAACTGCATACCTATGGAGAGTCCATCCCCACGACACTATGACGACCGTGGCGTACTTATGCTAACCAAGACGCTCTAAGATCTGTGGTGCTTCGAGGTTCTTGCCGCATCTGCTCCTGTTTCAAGCAGTAGTGCGTAAGTCAAACCCCAGTGAGAGCAACAATTAATGTATAACAGTAATATTAAACAAATGGTAAAGAAACCGCAGCCATGGATGCATGTAGTCAAGAGCAAGGGATTTGGACAAATATTGCCTTCCCCAAATAAACATGTTCACTTGCATTGTCTGTTAGCATTTTGTTTTGAAATCTGTAGGTGATACGGAGATTATAGCTTTCTTGACACAGTACTGACTTCATTCTTACTTTGCCGCCTATGGTAGTGAGTGTTCACAGTGGTCGATGTGTTAGCACAGTTGGACTCCGTTGTAAGATAATGGAGTAATTTTTTATAACATATAGTACTTCTTTCTGAGAGGTAAAATAGATGCGAAAATTCGTCAATCGCTTGATTTTTCTTCTTCTTATAAACTACAGCAAGAATTTATAGGAAGTATCAGGGACAACGGCCGGTCACCGCAAATATACTGACCACGAATAACTTTGTACGAGCACTCCATTGTCCCTGATACTTCCTATAAATTCTTGCTGTTGTTTATAAGAAGAAGAAAAATCAAGCGATTGACAAATTTTAACATCTATTCTACCTCTCAGAAAGAAGTACTATATATTATAAAAATCACTCCATTAT